CGTGGAATCAATTTAATTCGTGGGGTCAATGTTTGTGGGCAAGCAAAATTTTACTTCTCCGAAGGGACGTAATTTCGTGGGTTACTCGTTTTTACGGTAGATTCTATGAATCAATATTACCCCAAAACCATAAAGTAAGAACAGACTTAAGTCAAAATTTCAATTCTGTGTAACTTTTGAAATGATCAAGAAAATTAAACCAAATTTTCATTGAGTATTTGTAATTGAGTATTTGATATTGCCTAGGACTTCAGCAAATGTAAACAAGTAAGATGGCATGAATTGCTTGCATTAATCATTGAATCATATAATAAAACAATTATTGATGTATTTTTAGTCAATACGATGATTTAACGACTTTCGAAGTACAAAATTCGAGTTTTGTGAATATTGTACTCCTCAGATGGCTAAATCATCGTATTGACCTCAAAAATAGCAATGATTGTATGTATAGAATCATTTTACATTTAATTTAATACATGTTTGAAATTATCTTGTCTTGGTTCTGGTATTCGGCAGAAATAGACAAGTAAATCTACCAGAATCTCTAATAGATTTTTGAACTGATGAGAAAATACCTGTACATGTATATTGGTTGATATCAATAATTTGTAATTTGTCTCCTCACAGAAGTAGATTACAATTCATAACGTGTAAGTGGGTAAAAGATTTCTAAATAATTCCTTTCTAACAAACAACAAAACGAGACTTCTGGTGTTCCACATTGATAATTTAGACTCTACGCAATATTTCTTTTAATAGGGTCATAATTCAATCTACAGTTATGCTTTAGTTATATATTAATTTGTCTGATTGTTTTCATGAAAAATATAATGAGAGATTCGGGGGTTTTTCTGTCTCTTTTTTAATCAAGCCCTAGAGGGGCTTGAGTTATCTAAAACAATGCTAGGTCATCGAATCACTCAGTTAAAAAAGAAAAAAAATATACTATTTGTGTAAATAAAAAAATTCTAGATACAAAAATGAAGCTTATCGTGAAAATATTTGTATATTCTATGATATTAAGTGTTAAAGGTCGCATTATATTATATGACGAAGGAATAATGAGTGATGCTCCGCAGCCGCAACAGTTTCTATACAGAGATTTCGCGTTTTCCTTTGCTTAGGAATCTCAGGTAAGTTTTACAACGACCGTCAAAGCATCTTTGGACGAGTTCACTGGTTACGCAGAAAGCTGACACAAGTTAATCCTTCGTTAACATTTTCTACTCTGGGTGATAGTACTTAAATAGGATGAATGTTAAAATGCCATCTCCGAAAGACCTATAGTTTTGTTATTTAAAAAAATTCGAGCTATTTTCGATAACCCATTACCATGGGACTTGACATATCTGTTTTGGATTTGTACGGAAGATTCTAACATTGGAAAGAATTAGATGGTACACATGTAGCACAGGCCCGAAGTACACGGGATTTTTTCGGAGCCCCCCCCCCCCCCTCAACTTCACTTTGAAAAAGATTGCTTCAGGCCAACAGGCTATTTGTTTGCTGTATATCAAATGTTGCGATGTCATTTAGGAAACCCAGTAATACAAATAATTGTATTAAATACATTTATATGGACAAATATTTCAATCAATATAGAAACCACCGCCACTTTGCTTTATAAGATATTCCTGAAAATGAGTGACGCATTGAATACAATTCACTTTTAAAAGTAGTACAATTAATTATATTAATTCTAAGTTCTATATGAATTTTAGATAAAATAATATAAACCATTATTTCAGGCAATTAAGTACAACTTCACGATAAAGCCACTACATGTGTTTTTTTATGTACATGTATTTTGTTTCCTAGTTTATGTATTTTATTCAACAGCCTACATCTTATATCATTTTAGGATATTCATGACACTTAGAACTTAGTTGACTTTTTACAGCTTGAGTATCTCTGAAGTTTTGTCAGTGAATCCTTGTTTGAAACTAAAATTTGGATTGTTTCTGGTCAACATAATTGAATTCATTTCATTATCAGGAATAAAAGATTTCTTAATCATTTCGAGTATTTATTGAAAAATCGAGAAATCCCCCCCCCCCCCATTTTCATGTAATGAGTCTTGATTTGCTTTAAATCTATGTTCTTGTTAGAGGAAGGATTTTTAAAAATTATTTAGGTTCAATATTTTAATGTACCTTAAACATAGTATTTCGCTGTGCTACTTTACATCTTTATGCAAGAGGCCCCCGGCCTATCGCTATTTAAAATTAATCTTGTAAAAAATGATGCATAAAGTGTCATTTTTCTATTTTTTCAACATTTTATGGTGAACAATAAAACAGTTCTCAAATAGTGGAAGTAATGTACATTTTGGAAAGTGTACTTCTATAAAAGCTGTATTTTATCTTATTAAGGGAGGGGGTGAATATGGTTTCAATTGCGCTATACTTTGCTTTATTATCGAACGTATAGTCAGGTAGTAAAAAAAAATAAAACTATTAAGATTCATAAAATATAAAAGCCTCCGTTAAATAAAACCAAATTAAAAGCTATATACTGCCAAATTTCGGTTTAGGAAATGTTTTATTTTTTTTTTTAAAGTCCTTTACGGTGATTGTTTGTTCAGAGATTTCTATATACATATATTCTTGATAGATATCATAGATTCGACAGATATGTATTTAAATATCAGTGAAGTCATACAATTTGTAAAGTTGTGTTTTTATTAATGTTTGAGTTTATATAAAGATATAGGTTCCTTTTTAAAATTTATTAGCACCGAATACTAGATGTAGATGACCTACTAGATGTAGATGACCTACTAGATGTAGATGACATACTAGACGTGACGCAGCACTGTTAAGGGCGGCTGGATTGTTGTATGGTATCTGACTAATTAAAGCATTCAAAGTATATTTGAAGCTTCAAATGCTTCAAATAACTAAAAAAAAAAACTAATACTCCTTACAATTATTAGTAAATTAGAAGAAATTCGGGTTAGCTGATATTTATTTTTGTTAGATGATTTTATCCAAGTGGTCGTATTGCATGGTAAACCATGAGTGTGATATCAACCTTTTTTTTTTTTTTTTTTTTTTTTTTTTTTTTTTTTTTTGTAAAGAGAAAATCATATAACATTTTACAACTGAAGAGGCATCACACGATTGGTCCCCCGCTTCCACTTAAAATTGGGGATATTAACTTGGGTTTGTCTGTGCGTCTATCTGTCTGCCTGTCTGTCTTTATCTCTGTCTGTGTGTAACACTTTCGTGTCCGGACGATATCTCAAGAAGCCTTTGATCTTTTGCAATGAAAGTTTATACCACAACTCCCATTGGCCTAAAGAAGACTCCTATTGATTTGGAAGTCAAAACGTCGGTCAAGGTACTAAATTCTTACATTCTGTCTGTCTAACACCCTTTTCCCAAACTGTTTCTTAAAAATACTTTAAGATTTTGCAATAAAATTTTATGTCGCAACTCCCCATCGCCTCAGAAAACCAAAGATCCAAGTCAGAAATATATATTGCATATATATTTTTCAGATAATTATTTTAGTTTTTCTAGAAGCGTTTGCAATTGAAACTTTTGGTCATGAATTTCTTTGTCTTCAAAAAAGACTCTTATTGACTTTAAGGCCAAACGCTGAAAGGTCAAGGTTGACATCTTTTCTTTCTCCGTCTGCAATAATTTTCAAGTTCTTCCACCCTCTTCTTTTTTCCTTCAGCGGAGGACACACATTCTCTTAATTAGCTTGTTTGTCCTTAATAATAACTGTCCTAAGACGGTTAAATTGAATTTAATTGATATTATCACTCTATGATATTGTTTTCTCTTATCTGTTAAAATTTCATTAATTTCTAAAGACAATGAATATAAGAAGAATCCCTCCTTAAGGCCACGAAAAGATGAGACAGGCCCTAATTTATACGCAAAAATAAAATTATTTGCAATTTTAATCTGTACGAGAATATTTAACCACAGCAAAATTTATCACTGTATCTATTTTTGTTGCTAGTTTAATGCCACACAGCAAGGTATGAACAAAGGCACTTGTCGACATGACGTCATCATGGTAAAACTTTATGCATTTTATGTGTACTGAATGGCGTTTCAAGTTTTTTGCTCACAGTGAAAAATGTGTTTCATTATTAAACAGAATATTATTTACAGGTGCTTAGAAAACCATTAATATCAATGTTTTACCTTTGTGTTATGCCATTTAATTGTTATCGAGAGGGTGCACTAAATTTGTTCTTGCGCATCAGGTGTTCAGGTGCATCGTTAAACAGTCTTTTCGCAATGGCATAACTTAAGAAAATTCGATCTTGAGCTACAGATTTTTGTCTGGACCTCAGTTTCTAACCCTCTGCATCATATTTTAGTAATTACAATAAATTTTGATCATACAATGCCAATTAAACTATATTCAATTAAAACCCCACGATTTAAATGTCATACAAAAAGCATTAAGTGAGGAACTATATTTTTCAAGCGGAAGGTGTTTAAAGAGACATGATTGATTTTTCTCTCCCCAAGTATTTAATTACAGTACTGTTATATTTGTATTCCTATTTTTTCATGCAGGCTGCACACAAAGTTATTTTGTACAGTGAAAAATTTTATGTAGGCCAAGAATTATAGCTATTAATAATATAGCTATTATTAGCTATTACGAGTTCTATCATCATATTTTGACAAATATAGCAAATATATCGTGAAAGTCCAAAAAAAGTCTCAATTTTAGCTTAATATTGACACTTTTCAAGTCATGTCTTAAAAATACATCATCATAGACCTCGTCTTTTAATTTTCTTTATATGGAAAATAAGAATACTTTGACCATTCTTCTTAAATTCAGTAAAAGCTTAAGACTTTGAAATGGTTTTATTGCTTATGAAATTTTTAATGTCAGTCAGATGACAATTTGTTTGTGCAGAAAGGTAAAATGATTACCGTAATTATGCAAAGTAATTAGAAACTTTTCAACAATTTTTAATGTGTCTTAAGCGTATTTAACCCCATTTCTTGTATTGATTTTCATTTAGTCTGTGTGTGGAGATTCTAGAAATATAATACACAAAAATATACACAAAAATGGTATAAGATTCCACATATTTTAGCTGAAGTCCCATATTACTTGAAATTTAAACTCATTAAATGCTATTTCTGTTTAAAGCAGCAGGACTATTTAGAAATTATAGGATATGTAGAAACAGTTTATAACTTAGATAAATTTTTAGTTTGAATTATGGTATATACTTGCGATATTGAAATTTGTATAAGACCTCCATGCAGTACACATTACATGTAGCTGCATTTATCAAGTGATAAATGAGAAAAATGACCTATTGTTTACTGCTTGATATCTGCAGGCAGATCTACCAGACACAAAGGTAACACATAAATGAATGATACATTTAACAATATTTATTACCATCAACAAACAAACCCGATCACAACCAATTCAAAACATTTGGAGTAATAGATACCATCATTTAGTAGACCTGAAAAGAAAATAAATACATATATATGCAATGGAATTGTTATTTCTGTTTTCTTTTTTTCCACTCTGATTGTTGAATGAAGGATGATTGAATGAAGGAATTTTAAAACTCACCTTCCTTGGTCTTCTGCCGAGAAAACCTCCAGGTCTTCCAAGAATGACGCCATTATTGAATCCATTAAATCCCTGACTGGCGGCGGCAGAAGAAGCAGCGGCAGCCTGACCAGCGGCGGCAGCACTAGCAGCAGCAGCAGACCCACCTCCAACACCAAATGAAGGGTATTGGAAGTAGTTTCCGGGAAACTGATTAAAGTAGTAGCCGGGGAGGTTGTAGTATTGTTGTCCCTGGTAATAATACCCAGGATAGGTATAGTATGGGGCAACATTCAGTCCACTTGCAGCAGTAGCAGCAGCGGCAGCAGCACCGTTTCCTGCGGCAGCAGCAGAGGAGGCGGCAGCATTTTGTCCGGCAGCGACAGCAGCAGCGGCGGCAGCAGCACCTCCGGCGGCAGCTGAACCAGCAGCAGCAGATCCACCTCCAATACCAACCAAACCGGGATAGTATCCTCCCAGTCCACTGTTTATACCCCCAAAGCCAACGAGTCCACTGTTCACACCTCCAAAGTTACCATATGGACCAAATCCGTAACTCTTGGGATAGTAGTCCCCAATCTTTGGGTAATAATCCGCATAAACGCAGGCAACGATGCAGGCGAGGGAGATTATTCTAATCATTTTCTGTTATTAGATGAAAATTTGGGAAAAAGAAAAAAAAATAATTTATTACTTTGACTGTTTTAGTTTTTAGCTGATCATTGAAACGTGAAAGTTTTGAAATATTTAATCTTATGAAAATTACAAGAAAATTAACACTTTAGCAATTAAAAAAAATAAACACTAAAGCCAGTCTTGTAAATCATTTTCAAAGTAACCTGCAAAGCATAGTTTGCGAAATCTAAATTATTTCTTGTTCTTAAAATATTTAAAGACTCTTACCCTGATTTGTGTGGACTTAACTGCTTGACTGCCGTGTAGTACCGATTTTGATAATCAACTCGTCATATATACTTTCCAAATATCAACGTCACAATGCTTTGCGGGGATTGCGGTTTACTATAATGCCCAGTCATATACGAATTTAATTAACAAGGAAATATTGCAGAAATTGACAAATTTTTATTGAGTGAATCATTTTCGAAAGAATACTTTTTTTTAATATAAAATAGAATTATATAATTCATTCAATTAACTCTCTTCAGGAACAATAGGTCTAAAAGAGATACCTTATAAAACAATGTTTGAGACAATTAATTCTACAATCATAGCACTGCTCAACTTGAAGTTCCTCTTTGTTTACATCCTATACCAATGAATTTAATTGATAAATAAGATATTTGGTGACTAGGATGTTTTGTTTACAATATTTGCTAAATAGGATGTTTGCACACTCAAGCAAATAAAGAAAAGGATTAAGGGATAAAGATATAAATTATTAATAAATAATTTTGCTAATATATATATATATATATATATATATATATATATATATATATATATATATATATATATATATATATATATATATATATATATATATATATATATATATATATATATATATATATATATATATATTACATGTTTGAAATTTTCTTGTTTGAGTTCTGGTGTTGGCAGAAATAGACAAGTAAATCTACTAGAATCTCTATTAAATTTTTGAACTGATGAGAAAATACATGTATATTGGTTGATATCAATATTTAGTTATTTTTCTCCTCACAGAAGTTGGTGATTATTAATAATATGTATGTGAGTAAAAGATAAAAGATTCCTAAATAATTCCTTTCTAAAAATCAACAAATGATACGAGTCTAGTGTTCACATAAATAATTTAGACTCTCAGCAATATTTCTTTTTATAGGGTCATACATGTAATTCAATCTACAGTTATGTCTTAGTTTTATAAATTCATTGTTTTGTTTTCATGAAAAAAATAATGAGGGGTCCGAATTTCAGTATTTTGAGCCAGAGAGTCGAGAAGAAATACTCAATCTCCATCTGTTCGGTAATAAACTTATACAATTTAATGGGAAAGCCCTTTATGTTGAATCATCTATTAAAAGTGTTTTTTTTTTTAAATTAAAGACATTTGAAATGATGAGAAAAACTGTTTTAATTACAATGACACTATTTTTAATGAATTATTAGACAAAAAATGCTGAATTTTTGAATATAGTAAATTAAAAGCAGCCATTCCTAAATCTTTTTATCAAATAATGAAAAGAAACAACTTAATATCCAATAACGAAAAAAAACTCCCTAATAAATTGAATAATAATTTACTCATTCAAAGAGGTACTAATAAAGTGGTAAATAATGGTGATTTCAAGTTAAAAAACATAGAAAAAACCTTAAATAAGAAAAAAATTCCAAAAAGTCAAGAAAAATTGGAAAAATATATCAAAATAACATACAGTGGAATTTAGTTTGGGACAGTATTTCAAGAGTAAAAGTAAAAAATAAAATTCAAGAATTCCAATGGAAAAGTGTGCATAAAATATTGTATACTGAAGATAAATTAAGTAAAATCGGACTTTCCAATGGTTAATGCAACTTATGTAATCAAAGTACTGAAAGTACTACTACGAGTTGATTGTATTGATTATAATGTTTAAATGAGTTGAGGTCTCTAGTCTGTATATGGATTATGTGATATTATGTGCATTGATGAAAACTATCAGAGTGACTTTAAAATCTTTTCTTTTTGTTTTCTTTGAGAAAAAAAATTATAACATTTTATTTACACCTTTTCCATCATGTATTTTTAACATGTATATTTATTCTTTTTTAAAATATCTACTGGAATGTATAATAATTTATCACAAATCGAACCTTTAAACATAGAAAACAAATAATACTAAGTTAGTTTTGGGATTTTTCGTAAAATGACAATGTAGCTTGCATTTAAAGTAATTTGTATTTTTACAAAATAAAGGATACCATCATTGAAATGGTCACAGATCACAGACTATCATCATTAAAAAAAACGAGAACAGTTTTTTAGGCACTGGATATCATTTGAAAGAAATATTATATATCAAGTGAAAAATTTCAAAAAGGGAAAAATGGCACAACTGTTGTAAAATCATATTACAGAATTTAAACAACTAAGTAGACAAAAAACAAGAAAAAGTTTTAAACACACATATCTCAAACTAATAGGCCAAACCTACAATAGTATTACAAGTAGGGAATTATTATTTACAAATAGCGCAAATTGAATTATTTCATTAACATGCTCATTGAATATTTTCACTGCTTTCTTAAATTGACAAATAATTTGACTTTTTCAATGCACATCCATATGTTCCAATTCTCGTGATTAAGCCAGTCTTAAAATTCATATCTTTTACTTTTATTTATATGTATATTACATAATTCAGTTTTCTTGATTTAGGATCATTGATATGCACAATAAATATTTTAATTCTCTTGATTTAGCTACTCTTGAAATTGAAGTTCTTGACAATTAATGAAATGGGCATTTTATATGTCATTTCGTTTGGTTTAGTCACTCTTGAAATATAACTACTTGAGTTTATTTGATATGCACATTTTATATATCATTTCTCTCGGTTTAGCCTTTCTTGAAATTCAACTATTCGACTTTCATTGATACAAGTATGCACGTTAAAAATTTCAATTCTTTCGGCTTTTCGACTGAAGAGTTTAAATTTATCACAATGGCAAGATATTGACTATTTACATTATCTATCTACTCTTGGTATAATTTGATTTCTTGATCTCTTCACATTTATAAATATGCATTTCACATTTATTTTATCAATAACATCCCACTTAATTTTTTTTTATTTAATGCCTTCAGTACTATTAATTCACTTTATAACATGGTCAGCATCTGATAGCAAAACACAGCAGGACATATTAGAGGAAACCACTTTCCAGTGTAGTGCAGACAAATAATGAGATAAGAATCAGAGGCGCGTTAAGTGACCATTGCTGTATTTAAAGCTTGCTGTGAAATAGATCTAGATTGTGGAAGACAGTGTTTTTAACAGGGAAAAAGAAATTGGAGCACAAAGTTCTCCGCTGCTGAAAACTCTAACCCTTGAAGCAATCGAAATCTTTTATTGCTTACACAAGAAATAAGAACTTGAATTTCAAAATTGTTTTTCACTGGTGCAGCTCATTTCTTCAGTTTGAGATTAGTAGTTGATTTACTTCGACCTTCTTTACTGCAAACTTCTCGCTTTGTTTATAAACATAGGCAGTGTTCTCTGTGTTGAACGATTCATCACTAACGCGGGAAAACTGCTCTGTTCATTAGCATAACAGCGCAAGAATTAGTTTATTTTTATACCACCAGCACGCCAATCTTTTAAAAATAACCTGGTTTGTACAATATTCAATTTCGTGAATTTTCTTTAAAAATCTGTTTTCAAAATACTTCTTATTATATAAAACATATATTGATTTATAAATCAAAATTTTGTTTGCACGACATGTCTCTTTTGTTGACCGCATGTCCCTAACACTAATTTCTTTTGCGGATAGACACAAATTCCAATAAGATTAATAATAAACGTTTATGTTTATAAACACTTCAAATCATATCAGGAAACATATTCTTGTTCGGAAGATCATGAAAATTACATATAAACCAATATTATACAAGAATCTGTACGTAAAATAAACAAATGAAAATGTGATTAGTTTCGATACATTGGGGAATCCCTTACAAGTCACATAACATGAGTTGATACCATCAATTCGTAAAAACCATAGGGAAAATCAACAACACCTCTTTTTTCACTGCATAAAAGTTAAACCAACACTTAAGTTAGTAGAAGACATAATTAAAAATGTGTTACAACTGAAGGGGTTTTTATCAGTTGATCAGCAAACAATAATGTTATGGTACTTGAAGGAACCGCAAATTCCAAGAACTTTTTTTAATACCTTAATATATATCTATAAATGGGTCATATGGAAAACAAGAAATAAAGTTAAATATGAGAATCTAAAAGTAAATGACTCAAGTATTGCTTTTAAAATTGAAATGAAATCAAATTTCCTATTACAATCACATGATTTTACAAATTTTCAATTAAGGGAGCTAATGAATCATATTTTTCAAAATCCTATGTATTTCTAATACTAGTAATAGTCAATATCTGCTGACACACTTACTACACTAGTTACTGTTTAGGTTTCTTTAATTTGCTTGTGTCATTTTTTTCACACACAATAGTAACTGGAAACTTTATGTTTAAAATAATTTTAAATGAATGTTAAGTTCATTTTTTCCCGTAAAATGTAATGCAAGATATAAATTATACATATGAAAAAAATTATACATATATTCAGAAAATTTGTTTTGCTTTTTTGTTTTTCTTCCTCTTTTTTTTCCTAAAAATACTCTAAATATTGTTTTTGTTGAGCACTATAAAAAGACCCGTATTGGAGGATGATCTGGCCCTCGATACTAGTTACAGCGGGAGTGATGGACTCATTTTCTTTTCTTTTTTTATTAGAAATTCCCACTGTAACAAGGGTCATGTTTGTATATGTGTAGGTTATATTACTATTGTTATAAAAAAAATTAAACAATCAATTTTTCTTCACTTTCTGAGTTTTATGTATCTATTACTGCGTATTGTGTATATTATATAAATAGTGCACGTTTTTGAGGGTAACAGTTGAAATTGACACCCCAAGGAAAACCATTGTCAACCGACGCGTCAGCGGAGGTTGACAATGGTTTTCCGAGGGGTGTCAATTTCAACTGTTACCCTCAAAAACGTGCACTATTTATTTTATTATACTGAATGTCTTATTGATTTCGGATGTCATAAAAAAATTCGGTGATGGTCGTTAAGTTCACGCTTAGAAAGCTTTCAAACTCCCCGCTTCTATTTTTCTCAATAAGAAAGCTTCGGAAAAGATTAACCAACCTCTTTATTGTTTGTTTGCTATCAAAAAGTCCTTTGTCATCTAAAGTTTGCACTCGCAGGGATGTTTCGTCTGTCGTTTGTTGTTTTCAAGTAAGCTACATCGGACGCAAGCTTTTATTGACGTCGTTTATTCGGCTTCTTTCAAACGCAAAACCGACGTTTTGAGAATTCTACGGTGAACCGTACGCGCATGATTTGAACGCATGTGATATTTTCGTAATGTTACCCGTTGTCAAGTGTGTTGCTAACGCTGAGGGTAACATTACGGATTGTTAAATGCGTCTAAACCAATCAGATTTTAGTATTTAACATGAAAGTATAATAAATACATATATGATTTATACAGATGTTGGTGGCATTATTAATAATTTATTCCTTATTGAATATAGTAGTATAAACAGTTGAATTGGTGTGATGGACGAGTAATACGCCCTGTGTACTAAACAATGTTAATTAACGTATCATTTTAGGTTGATATAATTTATCAGTTGTTTAAGTGTATCGTCATATTATCTTGGAACTGTCTGTATATTATATAATATTATACAAATGAATATATATTTAATAAATAAAAAAAATGAGGGGTTCGGGGTATTTTTATCTGTATCTTTTTTTTTTTTTACTGAAATATGGATTGTTTCTGGTCAACAAAATTGAATCATTTCATTATCAGGAATAAAAGATGTCTTAATCATTTCGAGTATTTATTCAAAAATCGAGTGATTCCCTCATTTTCGTGTAATAAGTCTTAATATGCTTTAAATCTAGGTTCTTGTTAAAGGAAGGATTTAAAAAAAATATTTAGGTTCAATATTTTAATGTACCTTAAACATAGTATTTCGTTGAGCTACTTTACATCTTTATACAAGAGTCTTCCCGCCTATCGATATTTAAAATTAATTTTTTAAAGAAATGATGCATAAAGTTGAACTTTTCTAATATTTCAACATCTTTTGATGAACAATACAACAGGTCTCAAATAGTGGTCAAATGGATGTAATGTACATTTTGGATAGTGTACATCTATAAAAGCTGTATCTTAATTTTTAAGGAGGATCAGATTGGGTTTCAATTGCGCTATACTTTGCATAATTATAGAACTTAAAGAATTTGAGTTGGAGAATGTGTAAAAACTGTCAATTAATTATAAAATATGTATTTTATCTCCTGAGCTACAGGACTCATAGAGGAATTAGAAAAGTTAATGCATGTTTGCAGTGATGAGATGTACATAAGCGAAAAAGACGTTTAAGTTTCTAATCTATATAGCTAATCATGATTATAAACAAAACATGAACTTGGAGTCAAGCTTTGAAATCCAACAGACTTTAAGAAATTCTACCACTTCTCTGTATTTATTACCCAGATTAATTTGATCATTTATATTGTCTGGTGTTTAGCAAATATTCCATAAACACCTCTTTATACTGCACCAGCTTCAGAATATTAATTGATGTGTTTGTATTTGTAAAAATAAAATATTGATTTAGTTGAGAGTCTTGTATAAAAAAAAATATATTGATTCTGTTTAATGTGGAATTTGCTGTTGTTCATTTAGTTGTGAGTCTGGTAGTAAAAAAAAAATAAAACTATTAAAATTTAAAAAAATATTAAAGCTTCCAATAAATAAAACCAAATTAAAACCTATACACTTCTAACTTTCGGTTCAGGGAATGTTTTATATTTTTAAAGTCCTTTACAGTAATTGCTTGTTCAGAGATTTCTATATACATATCTTTTTTGGAAAGATATCATACACTCAACAGATATGTATGTAAATATCAATGAAATCATGTAGTTTGTTTATTTCATGTTTGAATTGAAATAAAAATATTGGTAATGATGTTCCTTTTAAAAAATTATTAGCACCGAATACTACATGTCTTAGGTGACGCAGCACTGTTAAGGACGGGGTGTTTGTCCGGTTTCTGACTAATTAAGCATTCAAAGTATATTTGAAGCATAAAAAACTAATACTCCTCAAAAATATTAGGAAAGTAGAAGAAATTCGAGTTAACCGATATTTATTTTTGTTAAATGATTTTACTCAAATGGTCGTAATGCATGGTACACCATACATGTATGTGATATCAATCTTTTTATGCAAACAGAAAAACAAATAATATTTTACAAGTTAAGAAGGCATCATATGATTGCAAGAGTTATTATTGTCTCCCGTTTTCATTTAAAATGGGGAATATTAACTTGGGTCCGTCTGTGCGTCTGTCTGTCTGTCTGTATCATTCTCTGGGTGTAACACTTTCCAGACGATATATCACGAAGGAGGGATGGGATAATTGAAAAAAGCATTTGTAATTAGTGTAATGAATTACAATTTTCAAAGTAACTGGAAGTAATTTGTAATTGACCATTTTTTCGATTACATGTATTTGTAATTTAGTAATTACACTGAAAAATACCGTGCAATTTTAATTACTTTTCAATTACATTTCAATTACGTTACAAAATATGTATTATTCGTATTTAATAGGGAAATATTTCCATTACAGTTACATTTTACAGTTATTTCAATTCATTTGAAATATACCCAGTCCTTTTGTTTTTTCAAATTCTCAAACTTTTTTACATCCTCATAAATGAATTTGATATATTGGCTTGTTTATAAAAAAAAAAGTTTGTTTTATAATTATAATGCACCATATAGAATCATTATGAGTAAAATGTTAATTTAAAATTAACAAAGCTGCGGGACCAAGATGGAACTGGTTTCCACTCATTCTTTACTGTACAGGCATTTGTCTAGCATAAGATAAATGGAGGGCATAAAAATGTTTATCTAAAATTTTGTTAAATCTTTCTATGGTATAGCCATGAAACAATTCAAGTTTTTGTTGCTTGACTGTCAAATAGATAATAGTTCATGTGTCCTTAAGACCTGCTTTGTGGCCCTTCAAATCACAGCTGTATATTGCTATCAGAACAATCCCCCAAAAGGTTAATTACACCAATGGCATGCTTTGTTTAACTTTAAAGATATGACCATTAGAGGTGATTTATTTCATACAATAAAGAATGCTCAATTATTTATATATTTCAGAGAAGAAATCTTTATTATATCTTTATTTTAACATCTATAAATATATCTTATTTAGTATTTGAAATAGTTAATAAATAATTCAGGTATTATTCATTTTATGAAAATTGTCAAAAGGTGTTAAGCTTCCCTCCAGATGTAATAATTTGAGAGCATTTAACATTTGATTCAATAACTATTGAAAACTCTCTTATAATCAAATTCCATTTCATTTTGGTGATGATAAATATGTACATGTAGGTCTTGTGTTGATCAACCAAACTGACACCAAAGGCATCTTTAATTTTAAAAAGACTCCTATTGACTTTACGGCCAAAAGCTGAAAGATCAAGGTTGACCTCTTTTCTTTCTCCGTCTGAAAATTTTGTCGAGTTCTTCCACCTTCTTCTTCCTTAATTAAGCGGAGGACACAAATTCTCTTAAATTGCTTGTTTGTCCCTAATGTTAAGAAAAAAGAAAATGATCTTGACCTAAGATAGTTAAATTTAATTTAATTGATAATATCACTCAGTGATATTGTTTTCTGTTATCTGTAAAAATTTCATTAATTTTTAAAGACAATAGATATAAGAAGAATCCCTCCTTAAGGCCACTACAAGCCCTAATTTATACGAAAAAATGAAATAATTTGCAATTTTAATCTGTACAAAAATATTTAACCACAGCAAAATTTATCACTGTATCTATTTTTGTTGCTAGTTTAATGCCATACAGCAAGGTATAAACAAAGGCACTTGTCGACATGACGTCATCTTGGTAAAACTTATGCATTTTATGTTTGTTTGTTTGTTTGTATGTTGTCTAACGTCCCTCTCGAGAATTTTTCACTCATATGGAGACGCCACCACTTGCCGGTGGAGAGCTGCAAATTTTGTCCTATACTCGGCACTTACGGCCATTGAGCAGTGAGGGATCTTTTTCGTGCCAGCACCTACTGCGACACGGAACCTCGGTTTCTACGGTCTCATCCGAAGGACCGTTCTCCACGTCCCACAGTGGGATTCGAACCCGCGACGTAAGGATCAACTCCTTACTCCGCGACTCTAGAGCAGACGCTCTAACCACTGCGCCACGCGGGCACCTGCATTTTATGTGTACTGAGAGGCGGTTCAAGTTTTTTTTTCACAGTGTTTCATTATTAAACAGAATATTATTTACAGATGTTTAAAAACCGTTATTACCAATGTGTAACCTTTTTAGTAATGCCATTTAATAATCATTGAGAAGATGCATTGAATTTATTCTAGAAAAATGACATTTTGGGTGTGTAGAACGGTAAAGTAATTAATTATGCAAAGTAATTAGAAACTTGTCACAATTTTGATGTGTCTATAGTGTGTTGACCCTCTTTTCTTGTATTGATTTTGATAAATCTTTGTGTGTAGATTAAATATACTTAACAAAACTTCCTAAGACTTTTGATTGCAGGATCCCACCTCCTTAATTGAACTTGACTATTTAAAAAAAAATAAATGAAATATTCATAAACTTGAAAAGTGTTGCCAAGTAATACAATAAATTTTTGATTTGAATTATGGTATATACTTGACAAATTTACCTGATAGAAAGGTAACGCATACATGAATGATGTATTTAACAATATTTATTTTCATAAAACAAATAAACCCGATCACAACCAATCCAAAATCATTTGGAGTAATAGATGTCATCATTTAGTAGACCTGAAAAGAAAACAAATACATATAAATGCAGAGGAATTGTTAAGTTTGTCTTGTTTTCTTTTGCATTCTGATTGATGAATGAATTTCACGACTTTTTAAACAAACTCACCTTCCTTGGTATTCTGCCGAGAAAACCTCCAGGTCCTCCAAGAATGACGCCATTATTGAATCCATTAAATCCCTGACTGGCGGCTGCAGAAGAAGCAGCGGCAGCCTGACCAGCGGCGGCAGCACTAGCAGCAGCAGCAGATCCACCTCCAACACCAAAAATAGGGTATTGGAAGTAGTTTCTGGGATACTGATTAAAGTAGTAGCTGGGGAAGTTATAATATTGTTGTCCCTGGTAATAATACCCAGGATTGGTATAGTATGGGGCAACGTTCAGTCCACTTGCAGCAGCTGCAGAAGCGGCAGCAGCACCGTTTCCTGCGGCAGCAGCAGAGGAGGCGGCAGCATTTTGTCCGGCAGCGACAGCAGCAGCGGCGGCAGCAGCACCTCCGGCGGCAGCTGAACCAGCAGCAGCAGAACCGCCTCCAATACCAACCAAACCGGGGTAGTATCCTCCCAGGCCACTGAGTCCACTGTTTATACCCCCAAAGCCAACGAGTCCACTGTTCACACTTTCAAAGTTACCATATGGACCAAATCCGTAACTTTTGGGATAGTAGTCCCCACCCTTTGGATAATAGTCAGCGAAAACGCAGGCAACGATGCAGGCGAGGGAGATTATTCTCATCATTTTCTGTTATAAGAGATAGTTTTATTACAAAAACGATTTATAGAATTTAGTACTGTTGGTTCGTGTTCATTTTCTTTATTATTATTATTATTATTATTTATTTATTTTTGGTTTATTAGTGAGGCTTTACAATTTTAAGACATAGATTTTTATGAACAAGAAATTGACAGGAAAATTTGAGCAGTAAAATTTCATCACCAAAATTAGAATTAAAAAAGTGTGAAAGTTTCCTGTAGTAATTCCTCAACGAAACTTAAGTCATTAAAATATTATAAGACTCTTACCCTGATTTGTGTGGACTTAACTGCTTGACTGCCGTGTAGTAGAGATTCTCCTAATCAAACACATTATATATACTTTCTAAATATCAACGTCACAAGGAGGGGCGGGGATTGTGGTTAATTATATTGTCCAGTCATCTAGGAAAGTAATAAGGAAATATTACATCAATTGACAATTTTATGCTTAATTCGGTAAATTATTTCAACAAAGAATGGTATTTTTATATTAAGTATAATAAAATAATGAAAATGTGATTTTCTCTGAGTTAATACTTTGCTCTTCTCATGAGTGATAGGTTAGAAAAGTACACTTCTTTTACAACAACAAATTGTTAATTATAACACACCGCACTTTTTTTTTAGGATATTTTCATTATCAGCCCAAGCACAGGTCAATCTATATTTAGTTGTGTTAGAAAGTGCACATGAGGAAATGAGAAGTTATATTTCATTGTTTTGATAGAATAATTTCATTTATTACATTTTCAACAGTGAAATACTGTGATTTATTTATTGAATAAAAGTGATATTCTCTCACAGTGTGAAAGGATATCAAAGTAAGTAAAAAATAATTTCTGGCCTTTCATAAGATAGAGATAGTAACTAAGCATCTTGATAGAGCTAAAACTGCAAATTTCTTCCTAAATATGTTGCTAAAATCTATGCTATGTAATGTTTTCAATCTGACACACAACTTCTAAGCTGTGACGTCTCAACCGCTCAACTATGATGTCAAGCCTATGACACTGTGTTAAGAAAAGACAGAGGCAAAGGGAAAATCAAAGAAAATGTAATAAACAGAAAATTCAATGTTTTGTAGATGAATATGGAGTTTATTTCACTCGTGAGACAGGATTTTTTGATATTTTCACTCGTGCTTCGCACTCGTGAAAATATCAAAAAATCCTGTCCCACTCGTGAAATAAATTCCATATTCATCTACAAAACATTGAATATCCTCTATATACATGTCTATTAATAGAATGCATAAAAGTAATGAATAAAAATAATTTTTTAAATATTATATCTTAATTATTGGTATTAATGCGTTTAATTTTTTTTCTCTCATTTTAATCTGATTAATTTGTGACTTAACAAAAAAGGATTTACAAGCAATGTTCCCCAGAATGGGAGTGTGTAATGTATAAAAGCATATCAAAACGGGTTTCTGGGTAATCATTGTACGCGAAAAAAAGGGAAAAAGAAAGAGAAACTTAATACTAAATTTTCTTTTGAATTTGCTGTAGATACGTATGGTATTGAAATATTTTTAATGTCCATTATCGCACCATGTAGCAGTACCTGCAGAAATACCAGGTAATACTATTTTAATACGTATCAAAGTATCTAGCACTTATCTCTTGATCACATGAAATTTAAACGATAGGAACATTGTGGCCAAGTTTGAGTAATGTGCGAGGACTATAAACTCTTACTTAAAATTAGAATGAAACCTTCAGTCAAAAAATAGATCGATGATAGTGACCAATTATCTCGTTTTAAATAGAATTAATTATCAGGAATATGATGAGCTGTTTACATTTTCAAATGAGTATAACTTCGTAAAAATTGCACCCTTGAACAATTGAAATTAGCATAAAATGATTATTTTTTTTTCAAATTGATTCTATCATCCTTATTTTGAAATTCTGATCGTAAATTGTTATGTACTCGAATTATTATGTTAAGTAAGTAAAACGTTTGATTGTATATGCAGAGAGAGAGAGAGAGAGAGAGAGAGAGAGAGAGAGAGAGAGAATATGAAGACTAAAATTATAGATTATTATGCTGTATAATTATTCTTTTTATTTTTTGTGACAGGTCGGCAAGGGATGCTCACTCCACCATGGCACCTGATCCCACCTCTAAATTTTGAGGTCCGTGTTTGCTCTGCTCCGAATTTGTATCGTTTCATTGGACTTTCGAGATTGAATACTGTTCGTGATCTTCATATTTCATTTATTAAAATGGATTCAAAACAATTTACTTTATTTTTGAAACATTTTTTTAACCCGTTTGTTTCCGTGTCTTATGCACTGTTCACAAATTTGTATTGTTTAAAACATTTTTGAGATCGATTACTGTTTGTTTTCTTCAGCCTCTTCATTTTCTCAATTAATTGTCATGTTTTCGCTCATAACATTATTGCAACACTTAATTTATCAAATATACTGGTACGTGATAAATACTGTTACTAGCTGTGTTAGATAAAATTCATATACAACAAAAAGTGGACTATTCATTGTTTACATTGAAATTTTTGTGTCGAATATGAAAACTTTTCTAGTATAGTCAGATTGCTGTATTTCAACGTGGTAAATGTCGGGTTGCCAATTTTGTAGGAGTTAAATTATTGTTAAATTTTCAAATCTACATTGCTATCATTATCATCATTGTTATTGAATGTATTTGTTATACAGATGAATCGACATCTCAAAATATGCCTTTGCTTCAGGTAAATTTGCATGTCTGTGTTCAATGCAGCATAAAATGTAATTTAAAAAAACTCGCGGTTAAAATTGGTATGGTCTGAAATCAAGATTTTTTTTTTTAAATTTGCCTCAGAAAAAAGGTTCATTGATTCTGTATGACTTTTTTCTTAATAACATGTACTTATGACTCTGATGAGCCAGTTGGCTTAAGCAAATAAAGAAGCTTAAAACTCATATCCCTTTCTATTTTTAAAACACACGGAATATTAAGTATTGCTTTAAATAAAGACAATCATTATTACCTTAATTGGCAACTGACACAGGCAAATAAATCATTTACAGCACAATATTAACGCTGCATTTCTTTACTTTTTATGCGGAGAATTCTTTTTTAGAACCTCTCAAAAGATTTTATCTACCAAATATTAGTTATACATGTATTTTATGTAAAATAAGGAGGAAACAATGTTGAAATTATGAAGTTACCTCATATTCCTAAAAAGAAAATGAAATGTGCAAAGTATATTGTTATCTGCTCTGTTTGTTCAGTGAAATTAAAAGCCACTTTGCTATACAAAGTCATTCTGTTAAATATGTTGAGTTTTTGCATAGGAAAAAATTGAGCTGCATTTTAACAATGATGATATTTCATTGTTGTGTGTTCATAACTGTTATGAAATCAATATGTAATAATTAAAGAATAATTTGGGGTGGGGATTCATTAGGCATGCATATATGTCTTTACAACTACATCATAAAAGATTAATATTTACGGAAAAAAATGTTTCCTTTAGGTAATTAACAAATTGTTTCAGCAAGAATAGTTAGATGATCCCAGGTTAGCGTTCATGCAAAAAAAAATAAATAAGATACTTTTCATACCTTTTTAAAATTATTTTTATTTCATTATTTTCGGTAGAATTGGCGCAAAAATTTTGCTACAAAGTGTTCGAGTGGAAGGGACTGAGTTTTCTAAAAGACAGCTTTGGAACGCCGAAAACCTGTAAAGCAAAGAGGAAAAAAATCACAAAGTCGGGTGATATATTTTTAATTGTCAAAAGACATACGCCTTGAGTCTTAACACATGAAAACTAACAAGGAACTCTTTTAGTGAAAACGGTAAGAAATAAAATGATAACAAGAATTATACAAACATGATTATTCTTATTTGCTAACCGTACCGTTTCTTTTTCAGTTTCATTAAACGACCATCGAATGAGAAAAACTAATGGAAATAATTGAGCCCTGACAGTCAGAATTCATTTCCAGGTTATTTTATCAATAAATATCTATAGGTAACATATATAATAGAAACTCATAAACATTTTTTTATTTGAAAACCTTAATTTTTTTTAAAAAATTGCATGAGAATCTTAGACTGCAATAATGTATAATTTAACAGAAAACGTTCCTTCTGTCAAACTTTGAAAATATCATGGGTCATGAAAGTGTATAACCCTATTATCTATTCCTAATGGAAACTCGCGCTCTCAGATGAAATATGTGGAGATAACGAACAGTATTCGAGCTCAAAAGTCCATTAAACATTACAACATAGGAGCAGAGCAAACACGGACCTCTAAGACGTCAGAGGTGGGGTCAGGTGCCATGGAGAAGTGTGCATCCCATGCCGACCGGTCACACCCGCCGTGTGCTCCTTGTCATGATCGGGAAAAATCCGTCGACAATTCAGTGTGTAAAAAATGGCCTAATAATTAGTATGGAAAAGTCAGTCAGCATTTGACTTAATGAAAGATTGTATTTGCTGACAAGGTCATTGTATCGACAATAGAACTTAAGAAATGATGACTTTAAACGAGACTGCTGATATTCTTGTTTCATCAACTTGTTTGTCAATAACTTACCTCGTTTTAGAAATTGTTCATATGTAGAACATGCTCTTGCATATCGAATCAACTGAGAAATATAAACCCCGTATGCAGGTGATAAGGGTATATTGCTGCATAAGTGAGGGAAGTTGAAGATTGAAAAGTTAGTCATCACGTTTATGCTATGCAAAAATTCGGAAATGAAAATATGAAGCATTTCAGATATGAAGGTTTAGAAAGCATTTTAAAAACATTAATCTATTTTGGCTGGAAAAGCGTATTAATTCCCTGGGGAATGATTGATCAAACCTTTACCACAGCCAGTTGTGAAATACGAAGTCAACAACTATATGGCTTTTTAATAATATTAAAGTCGAAAAAAAATTATAAACGAAAATGGATAACGAAAGGTATTTTTTATTAACAATTTTATAACAGAAAACCGTGATTTAATGAATTTCGATCAATTTCAAAACACACCTGAGTTAAGTACAAATTCTTGTAATATAACAGATGATTCTTAACGATTCCTAAACACTAAAAACAGTTAAACTTCGCCAAAAACTAAATGAAATAAAAATGAAAATCTTTTGATACTTCACCATATCTTAAATCTTAAAGTCACAAAACATTTTTATGTAAAGTTTGTTGATCTCAGACTCCCTTTCAGTAGATGTAAAAACTTAATATATTCCTGAAAATGAATTGGAAGGCTCTTTCTCTTTACCTTATATGGTAACGGAAGACAGAAGCTTCGGTGGTTTCAGTGCAAGCTTTTACATCATTTTTTTTTTACGAACAGCAAACTTATGAAATGCAAACTAGCTGAAAGGAAACTTTGTTCTTTTTGGCATAATACAAAAGAAACAATCATTCATCTATTGTACCTGTTTTTTTCCGATACTATATGGTCTAATATGTGTGACAAGTCGACAAGGGATCCCGCTCATAATTTGTATTACTACATGTAGTATTCAAATGGACTTTTGTGAATGATCACAGTTTGTTACCTTCACAATTCATAAACTTCAAAAATATGTGGTTTAACGATTACATTCCTTAAAACGGGGGATCCTGCTCATAATTTGTATTACTAAATGTAGTATTTAAATGAATTTTGTGAATGATCACTGTTTGTTACCTTCACAATTCATAAACTTCGAAAAATATGTGGTTTAACGATTACATCCCTTAAAAAGTTTATAGTTATACTTTTATACATTGATTTTCTAAGACACTCTAGAACTTATTTTTAGAGATACAAAGCATAAAATCTCTTAAATTCGATAATAAAGATGTAAATTTTGGGAAGAATATGTGAATATACATGTAACATTTTCATTCAATATAAAAAATGTACATTTATGAATTGGAGAACATAAAATATAACAATCTGAAATCCCTAGTGATAAAACTTTTATTTACGTACTATAGTAAAAACTATGTTAGAGATGTAATCCTACTCTTGAAGAACTTTCTTTGTTGATGTTACAGTTCTAATCAGACTGCTTTCGAATCTTTATATAATAATGCTGCTTGCAAAGCAAAACATAGCGAATAGCAAATTAGAATAATAACTCGTCTTTTCAGGCTAACTTTTTTTAATTATGCAATGATTTTAGAATATTACCTGTTGTGAAAGAAATAATAATAATATGAATGCAGAAAAAACAAGTTTGTAGCAACCATGTTGAAACATGTTCAGAACAGGAATTGTATTTTTGTGATTTTTTTTTCATATGTTCTGGCAAACCTTAAATCTGCAGCTAAAGTCTAAAACTCCTTGTTACTCATAAGATATTTTTCAATAAGTAAAATAATTTAACTGATAATATTAGAAAAAAATATATCGGAATTATTTAAACTTTTTTTTAATAAAAAGCTGAAATATGATGATTTTTTGTGAGTTGAATAGCTCGATAACCTACACCATCTTAGTCATCAACTGAATGTACGCTAAAATACATACTTGTACAATCTCAGAATGAAAACTCGAAAGAGCGTTTTACTATAAAAGCTTTATTGACTGCTTGATAAGGAGTATGTCCTCTTGTGATTTCTAAATTATTTCTTTTTAAATAAAAATTGCCGATTTATAAATATGCCGATTTATAAATATGCTGAATCATGAATTAAACGATATAAAAGAAATCTAGCATCATATCCATGTACATTTGAATTAGTCAACTCTACATTTAGACTGATCTTTTGACTTTTAAAATTAATACAGAGCAGTTTACTCCATGGAGAAAAAATACTCTAAGAATAATAAATTCCACTAAATCTATTAATAACATTTTGATAGTGGAACCTTCTGAGATAAATTGATAAATAAAATGCATCTCTTTCTAAAGAAAAATCTAACAAAAGAAAAACAGTCTAGCTTATAAAAAAAATAATTAGGGATTTTCTGCCTAAATTCACATTTTCCAAATCTACCATTTTTTTTTATAATTTGTAACAATATAGTATTTGTTTGTAAGGTTCATTTTTACAACTTTTTTTTAAAGAAAGTAATTCCTATATGTCCTCATCTTGTAATTATTTTTTTTACTTGCAGTTCCCTTTCAAATGATGAAATTTTTAAAGTTTTATATATTTTTAACAACAGAACTGAAATTAGGAATTTTTATTTCCGTACAAATGTTTTTATTTATTTAACTAACTTAGGGTTTTATAAAAATCTTCACAAATGAAGATAGAATTGCAAGATCTAGTACATGTTCCACAAAACCCCTTTCCTTAAACTTCACAAAAATAATAAATACTATATTTAATAGATACTGTCTTTAAACTGTGACGCAGCACATTTAAGAAGTGCTGAAAAAAAATTTGGATTCTCCAGAACTCAAAAGATCTTTAAGAATGAAAAAGGTGAAGATAATGAATAGTGTTCGATCTTCAAAAAATGCACAAACAAATCTGTGAACAGGCATCAAACACGGACTCGAGGAAATTCCACAAGTGGGATCAGGTGCCTAGGAGGAGTAAGGATCCCCTGTTGACCGAAAAATTGAAATCATAATGTTCCATAATCAACATCAAGACGTATGACTTTTCAACACATTATACAATCGTTTTTCAAGATAGACTAAAGCTAAGGCTTTTTGACATCATAAAAGCTGCTTCTTCAATCAAAATGGAACTGGGATTTTTTTTTTCCATCTTGTGTCATCTAAAACGTTACTTTATGACAAATCATTCTGATTCTATATACAATTACTCTGAAGATATTGTTGTTGTTTTTTTTCAAATATCGACGGCGTTTAAAAAAATTAACAATATTCATTTCCCTTTATATGTAAACTCGCTGAAGTTATCCTTTTACTCACTCAAAACAAGAGTTCATATACATTGTAAGACTGCATCTTGGTAAAATTGTCAGAGATACTTGAAAAGCAAACACTTCTTTCTCGTACCAGTTGTCTGCAAACTTAATTCCAGATATAAAAAGAATTAACACGTATATGAATGCAATATTTAACAATATTTATTATCATGAAGAAATCAACCCGATCAGAGGCATCAAATAACATAAAAAATAATACTATTCCATTTAGTAGACCTGAAAAAGAATAAGAAAAATTTAAAATTGAAATGCTAAATTTAATTCAGCAATATATTATCAAAGAAAATGAAAACTGAAAAAGTTTCATTATGACAGTTACCAAAACTTTTATGAATTTTCCATCTTACCTTCCTTGACCTTCTGCCGAGAAAACCTCCAGGTCCTCCAAGAATGACGCCATTATTGAATCCATTAAATCCCTGACTGGCGGCTGCAGAAGAAGCAGCGGCAGCCTGACCAGCGGCGGCAGCACTAGCAGCAGCAGCAGATCCACCTCCAACACCAAAAATAGGGTATTGGAAGTAGTTTCTGGGATACTGATTAAAGTAGTAGTTGGGGAAGTTATAATATTGTTGTCCCTGGTAATAATACCCAGGATTGGTATAGTATGGGGCAACGTTCAGTCCACTTGCAGCAGCTGCAGAAGCGGCAGCAGCACCGTTTCCTGCGGCAGCAGCAGAGGAGGCGGCAGCATTTTGTCCGGCAGCGACAGCAGCAGCGGCGGCAGCAGCACCTCCGGCGGCAGCTGAACCAGCAGCAGCAGAACCGCCTCCAATACCGACCAAACCGGGGTAGTATCCTCCCAGGCCATTGAGTCCACTGTTTATACCCCCAACGCCAACGAGTCCACTGTTCACACCTCCAAAGTTACCATATGGACCAAATCCGTAACCCTTGGGATAGTAGTCCCCATATCCATAATCATATCCGTAACTCTTTGTATAGTAGTCCCCACCTTTCGGGTAAAAATCCGCACAAACGCAGGCAACGATGCAGGCGAGAAAGATTATTTTCATCATTTTCTAGGATAATATAAGTTGTTGAAATAAGTACTTGATTTGACAGTTGTTTTTCTTTTGTTTTGTTTTTTTACAGCTGAACAGTGAAGTTTTAAATTTTTAGAACATTAACTCCCTTAATTAAAGGGAGCACATAATCATTTTAGTAGAAAAAGATTAAGAAGACTCTCTTGAAAGTAACCTTTAGAATTTATACCATTGATTATTAAAAAGGTATTCAATAAACTCTTACCCTGGTTTGTGTGGCCTTTACTTCTTGAATGTTTGTAGTTAAGATTCTTCTAATCAACTCATTATATATACCTTTTCCCGCAATGCAAGGCGGGGACTTTGGTTAATTACATTACCTGATAAAATATCAAATTAATTAACAAGGAAATATAGCAGAGATTGGCAGTTTTATATTTAGTAATTCATTATTGAAAGAAGTTGTTTTTATATCGAATATCATGAAGTAATTAAATTGTGACTTCCTTTGAATAGAGCTATTTTTTTTATCGAGTCATAGGTTAGACATATACTTCTCTGACTTGGGGAATTTCAATTAAATACTTTTCTTCATGATTTTCTTTTCAATTTCTATGTAAAAGGCTTTTAAATATTGGTTATGAAGTTTTATAGTCATACAAATACAGATCAAGATTAAGAGGCTGTAATAACACACAGAACAATAGAGAAGAGAAAATAATAAATAAATAAAATAATTACATATTTGTATGTGTGTTTTAGGTTTTTCTCATTTTAGGAATTCTTCTTAATTTGTTTATCAATAGGATTTAGACTGTCACGGTAGATCAGTTGGTAGAGCGCTCGCTCCGTGGTCGGAAGGACGTGTGTTCGAATCACGGCGGCGACTGACCTAAGTCGAGAAAAAATAGGTAGCAACTGTTCGTTCGCCAAGCGCTCGGCACTTTGAAGTGAAAGTTGCAGGTCCTGCGGGAGAAACCTTAAAATCTGAGGTCCGTGTAACGGTAGGCGTTGGCACAATAAAGAACCCTCACTGCTCAATGGCTATGAGTGCCAAGTAAAGGTCAAAATTTGAAGCACTTCGCCAGTATATGGTAACGTCTCTATATGAGTGAAAAATTCTCGAACGGGAAGTACAATTAATCAATAGGATTTAGTTTTTTTAATTGTAAAAAGTTTAGAAAAATGATCAAGACGAATTTGAACCAATTTGTTACAAACTCGTACATTTTCAATCAAAGGAGTATGAAAATGTATATAAACCTTATTAATCTTCAGATCATCCTATTTTGCATGTTTTTAATTAACATTCAAACCAAAAATAATAAACGTTAGCAAAGTGACGCTGAATTAATGCAGTACATATATATATATATATATATATATATATATATATATATATATATATATATATATATATATATATATATATATATATATATATATATATATATATATATATATATATATATATATATATATATATCTCCTTTCAACTTGTAGGCGTTTTACCCCACCAGCTGCCACTAGTCGGTTTTTGTGGAAATACATGTACACTTATAATAGTTTTTTATACATGCTTTATAGATTACTGGGACTGTAATTTACAAAAGTTAACGATATGATTTGATCAAAAATTTGTCATTTTTGGTGAAATTTTTATCATTAATTTTTTTTTCAACACACACATATGTGTTTCCTTAATTATGATTAATGATGTGTAGATATGAAATGAGGAGGCATATATATATATATATATATATATATATATATATATATATATATATATATATATATATATATATATATATATATATATATATATATATATATATATATATATATATATATATATATATATTAAAGTATTGAATGATAAAAGCCTAAACGTTTATATTGACATTGCAAAAAATTGCAATGCCTACCAATCGCATAATTGATGTTGAAAACTACAAAGTTTGCTAAAATGATAAGTATACGTCACTTTCAGTTGGTGTAAAGTCAATTATGAGTCTTGGAAAACTGATAATTTTTCATTTAAAAAATGTAAATCATAATAATGCTTATCTCTGTTTAAAGGAAGAATTAACAATATCTATCACTTCATAGTGCGTATATTAAAATTGCATGTCATTTATCAAAGCTGATCAATTTATTTCCTTCAGCATCATATGAAGCATTAATTTGGGATTTTTATGACACTGCAAATAGCGACAAATTTGATAAAGAGCAATACTGTTAGTTAGCATTGCATTAATGTGGTTATGTCTTTTACACTTATCATGCAGGAAAACTTAAAACTCGTCGTCGTTGTCGCTTAAACATGTGCATATATTACAGACTGATATATGAATTTAAAAGCTGTTAACCAGTCAAATGATGACAGGAGAAAGCCAAGGTGTATAGTAATAATTGATAGAAATCTAGGATCCCTTCAATAAAATCAGAAAATGGCTACAACAATTATAGAAATCAAAGAATTGAATAGACATCATAATGATGCTTTGGCTCTCTTGTCTGTGAGATTTATAAAAACAATATACTACCGTAATATATTTACTCAAGGACAACAACATGAGAGACATATATACACAAGAACAGATGGTCAAAATATTGCTTAGTTTTGCTGGAATAAATTCTCATCGTATCACGTTTTAACAAATGATAGTTTGATATTTCAGTCCGAGAAAGAATGATAATTGTTTACATGCGTAAGTCAAAGAAAAATTTTGATAATTGGAATCTTGGAGGGCTAGTAGTAGACTGATGTTGGCTCAACATCATTACACTTTATTAAAAGATAATTATATGACAAAAGCACTTATTTCAGATATAAAAAATGAAAAAAACTAAAGGTAAAAACAACAAACTTTGATCATATAATAAATCCTGTCAGCAGAACGAAACGAGAATTAAACAGCACAAAACACAAATCCTGGAATCACTGGAGTTGGGATCAGGTGTCTAAAAGGAGGAGAATGCTCTCCTGTTGACCAGTCAAACCCACCATAAGCACTTTGTATTGATCATGTAAACGAAGGAATACGTATTCAAAATTAATATTAAAACGATGGCCTTACAATAGTATGAATCATGTCGTCGAAATACGTCCTAGGGTAGACTGTATTTGCAATGAAGGTTATTATAACGAACTAGAACTACCGAAATGCTTACTTTAAACGAAATAGTAGAAAGCCCTGTGACATAAACTAATTTGTCAGTTATCTGTTTTAATCTGCTTCGGTTTAAAATTGATTGTACATCCTTTTGTGAACTTACTAAGATGGGAAATATAAATACAAAATACGAACATAAAATTGTTTAAAATTGTAAATTACTTTTCTTTCCCTTCCTTGAGCTTAGCAGAAAAACAGATGATTCATACATCAAAAATTTATAACACCCATGAATTGAATTCAACATATTGAAGAACAGAACTTTACGCACACCATACAGACATCTCAAAAAGAAACATAATAAGAGCATAATGCATTTTCAACACACTCTTTCTTTATTTTAGATATCTAGGGTAATTGTCTCACCCAGAAAATATTTTAATGAAAACCCTTAAAAACCTCAAAAAATTAAATTTCTAAAGGCGTCATTATACATGATAATTCCATTGTTTTGTAACAGACAATGCAATGACAGAGGTAAATCAATCTTGATGTGCGCCATTACTAACATTCATTATCTCATTAAGATGTGCTAGATAATGTTTAGAGATTATCAGAGGAAATATAAATTTAATTTTACCTGTGTGGTTATATATGTCAACTTTTACTTATTTCCCCTAGCCTACAAACCAAAGTAGAAGAGAATAAATTGATTTAAAAAAGGTAAGAGAGGCTACTCAATTTGTAATTTTAACGAGAATAGTTTACATTTTTTAGCTATAATGAGTAAACTGACGAAACATTGGAGGGGAAAAGTGGATACCAAAAGATCACCATAACTGAATATTATGATGATAAATGCCTTGACCTTCACGATAACCCGTCTACTCTATTATTATTTCTTTTCATTTTATTGAATCATCTGTTCAAAAGCTTTGTAAAACTTTGAACAATTGTTGTTAATGTTCACTCCAGATAGATATGTTTAGAAGTTTTTGTTCTTTTTCCACTTTTTCTCTATCATAAGTGTTTTAATAAAGAACTATATCTTGAAATCTTGAGCAGTTTTCATTTTTTTACCTTAGGGAAGTGATAGATTTATTTCCCTTCGAGAACTTCAACTTTTCTATCTTCAACTTTCCTTATTTCTGTAGTAATATCATTCTATCATCTGCATATGGTGTTAACATTTCCCAACTTATTCAATACTCAAGAGCATGCGCCGAGTACGATCAATTTTTAAATCGAGGAGGCTACTGACAGATAAGTTAATGTTAAATGGATTTCAACACCCTCGTTTAAATTCAGCATTTTGTAAATTTACATGAGTGAAAGGTAGACAAGGAATACTAATAAATACACTACATCTGATCCCACTTCTGATGTTTTGGGGGGTCTGTGTTTGCCCTGTTTTCAGGTTGTAATGTTTAATGAGATTTTTAACATCAATTCTCTGTAAGGACCAAAAATGCTTGGCCACGCACTATCGTGGAATTTTATTTTATCACTATAATATTAGAGAGTGCCCTATATAAAGACTATTGGTGGGTAAATTTTGGACAGTACCTCCTTGGTTTCCATAGCAATTACTTTGAAATATTTTGTTATGGCAAAACTGACCTGATTGTCATCACCATGTAAAATAATTCCGTGCTTCCTTAATGTAGGAAAGTTATCAACATAACATGGATTTCATTTTATAGCTAAGTAATTAAAGTTTCTGTGCATCTAAATTTTATTCAATTTAACCCAAGGTTTTTAATATGATACAGATCAATTTACATGAATTTGTCATAAAAATGAATACAAAGGTGCCTATTTCTTGATATGCATATTAATTTTTGCAGGCAATTGAAACTTACAAAAAAGATATTTTCAGTAAGATCGAGCTTAGATCTAAAAGATGCAAAAAGATTTGAGGTGGGGAAATCAGTTAAAAGTCATATTCCAATCCCCTCAAATAATAACTTTTCCTAAAAATTAACCTAGAGTTATTTCCCTTTGCTGACTCTTTTGCACTGAAGACAAAAAATTAAACTGGTGTTATTTCCCTTTGTTGACTCTCCTGTATTGAAGTCTAAAGAAGTTTATAACAACATGTGGCAAAAACAGACGCCAGAAAAATAAACATGAAACAATAACAGAAAAATGATGTGTTTTTCAACTTTTTAAAATGGAATTCAGGTGTGAATGACAAAGTAAGTCATCAAAAGAAGGAGACACTGCTTTCTCAGCAT